CACTGGAACTTCTCTGGTTGTGAGTTTGGTCCAGAAAATGAAATTAAAGGAGCTAAGTGACCTTTTCCTGCTGTTACTGAAGAGCCGGGAGTTAAGTCAGTATGATGTAAAAAAGTCACAATTTCAGTTATTTCTAGCACACATAGTGTGTATTTATTTTCTGATGATTAAAAAAACAAAAAATGCTTTCAGGCAAGAAAACCACGTGTTGGAAATAATTGCTTTTTTGTATTATAATTAATTGCCTACTTTGGAGAGTCTCTGTAATACATCCTGGGACAGAATGTAAAAGAGAAAATAATTTTATGAAGATGTATTGTTCAGGCATCCCCAGTGTTCAGTCCATTTAAAACTCATAAAATAATTAATAGACTGACAAAGTAAATTGATGAGACTGAAATAGTCTGTGACCACTTTATATTGCTTTTTCTGACCTCAGCTATACACGTGCTCTAAGGCAACAGGCATTTTTCTTTCTCTGTGTGTTCCAGGTTAATTATAACTCTTCTAGAATCCTGATTAAAGAAAAATGTCTTATGTATGATTGGATATTTTCACCCAAGATGAAAAATTTATTTTCAGAAACTGGCCAAAAATTCTTTTGTCTTAAAGGACTCTGTAGCTTTCTTCCAAAACCTATTGCTTGTCATTGAGTGTAATTTTGGTTGAAGCTGGTTCATTATGTTGAATATAATGTCTGAAAGACTTGTCTGAAGAGGCTGATCCTCTTCTTTATGTAAATTACATCCCTGTGTAAAGTTGTGCAAGAAAGAGCTCATCAAAACCAGTCTAAGTACAAGGAGACATCAGAGAGACCATTTGTGAAGCTGAATATACATTTATAGGCATATAATCCTTTGCTCTTGCACAAAACTAATTTTTTTTTCCATTTTATGCAGTTGAGTTGAAAAGACAAATACCTCAACAGATAAGATTCTGAAATGGCTGCTGTCCTGTTTGAACAGGGCAGTGATCCAAACCATTCTGAAATATTCACCTCTTCCAGTCCACCTCCACTGCTCATCCTCCCTTTTGCTGTCCCTCCTTGACCCCCTGCAGCCGTGGGGCTGCCATGGGCAGTGGCAGCACCCAGTGAGGTTCAGGTCCACCTTTCCCTTCCCACCACTCTGGCTCTGGCAGCAGCCAACTCTGCATCCCACCATTGCGATCTGGATGCAGATTTGGCATCACCAAAAACACATGAAAGATGAGGACGTGGAGTAGTTGTTCTGTTAAATATCAGCTCAGTTGTACCTGCTCTTGGTGGGGGAAGTTCTCCTGTGCTTTTTAGCTGAGGATGTGGGGGTTGTCTTGGGCAGGAGGGAAGTAATAAGTTTGTAGGATTAGGATTCCCAGCTTTCCCTTTGCTTGTCCTTTGGCACAGGATCGTGGCTCTGTTGGTAACACAGCGTGTAGCTCGTCCTTTCTGTTTGATCCAGAGGAGACTGAGAGGCAGCCGTACCCTCGGAGCAGCTTTTGCTCTTGTGTCTGCGGCAGTGCTCAGTGGGATTCCTGGCTCCTGGGTTTTTCATGCTGGAGATGAGTCAGCATCAGAGAGATTTGTGCTGCTGCAAAGATGCTGCCCTCAGTAATTCAGGTGGCATCAGAGATTACTTTCCTGCTCCAATTAGTGCCTAAAGCATCTGAGTTGCCTATATAGTCTCACTTGAACCGTGCTTCAGGAAGTTCTTGCTTGGGCTTTTCTCCACAATTCAGTGGCTTTCTCACCTCCAGTCAGATTTTGCAAAAGCCAGGAACCTCAGCCTATGAAATAGTCTTTATCCTTCTTTACCTCACTTTAGTGTCATCTCCCTGCAACTTCTGACCATAGTTCAAGTGGTTCTACCAGCCACTTAATGCCTTGTAGTTTAATTGACTGGAAAATAGTCCCTGCTCAGTATTGGCTGTTTATTCCTTAAGATGAAAGGCCAAATATAACCTTCTGCAGGAAACAATTTGAGTGTAAAAAGCCAAAAAGGCATGCACGTAGTTCTCCCTAGTTTGAAGTATACCTCCAAAAGGTCAGGTCAGCAGGCATTACTTGGGTCGCACGTTTTGACCTCAGAAATCCTTTGGTTCCTTGAACTCTCCATATGTTCTTCAGTACTTTCTTTAAAAAGCCCAAGCAAAATCAATGAACAATCAATCAGAGAAAAATCAATCACAGTATTAAAAATACAAAAAATTAAAAATAGTTGTACAAAATAAAAAATTCAAAATTAAGTTGAAAGGAAAATATCTTAGCAATTCTGATTATAAGCTGGAATCTGCCTTTGAACCTGGAATGCAGTGAAAGCTTTAAATTAGTTTGAACAGTGGAGATTCAGGGATCTGTCTGAGCATACCAAATTGCATCATTCTGACTTTTGTGTCATAATCTCAAAGCATGAATTTGTTTGTGTGCATTAAACAAATCCACATATTTTCTTTTCTGATAATTAAGATGACATCATATGGGTGCAAGATTTTTATAATTGCTTCTGAAGCTCACTGAGGAAATAGAAAAATAAATGTACTGCAGAGAGACATGAATCTGCTCCCATAACAGGCAAACACTGTCTCATTCTTCATGGCTTTTTATTCTGAATGAGGCTGAGTAACTGGATCCAACTCTGAAATTTGCCCTACTAACTCTTAGGTTGCCTAACTTGGACTGCTTTATTGTAGAAAATAGAAAGATGGGCTTTTTCTTCCCTTTTCTTTTAACCCTAGGAGGATAAGCCAGTAATCAAGAGTAACAGCAGATTGCCTTGAAAGTTTTTTTTTTCAGTTGCTATGTTTGGTACTTCCATTTTCATCATGCAAGAATGGCTTGGGAGAGTAAATTTTTGGTATTTTTTGGAATCAGACATTGAAAATTGTCTCAGACTATAGGTGGAGAAGAGCTGTCTGTTATGTGCATGTAGTCCTTGTCAGAAATGCTTAGTGAAACATGGCTGCATGGTTAATTATAGGGACACTTCAAAGTAGTGTGATTTATTTACTTTACTGTTCTAGCAGGCATTGAACATCTGGCTACAAGAAATGAAGCCCTTTTTAGAGAGCTGAAGCGGGGAACCCAAATGAAACAACATAATAAATGGATGTCTACACTTGGAAACCTTTCACAGTTGTTTGTGCAGTAGTCTACAACTCTTAAGGCAAAGCAGCAATGCTTAGTGATGCAGGTTGGAAATGCTCTCTGCTTCTGAAATGTGGGAAGGAGAGTAACTCCTCTGGTAATCACCAAGTTTGTGGTGCTGAGTGCTCTATAAATTTTTTTTTTTTTTTTTTGCATTGTTTGTGCAGATATGATTTTCTGGATACAAATCCAAAGCAAGTATCCCGTGGTTGGAAGTGGTCCTTATATTTTATCTTTTTGTTTCCTGTTGTTCACTGGGGTTAGTATGGCCCCTAGTGACTGAGGACTTCTTCATTTTTCTACATTGCAGGGCATGTGTCATGCCAAGTTTCTGAGATCTTTTGTCTTCATCTGGCTAGATTACAACCTCCTTCTGGCCCTACACATTTTTCACACACTTCCAGGGTCTGCAAGTTCCTGTCCTCCAGTATGACTCAGTTTTTCTGAACCAGAACGAGATGGGACATTTTGTTATAAATAAGTTAATTATCCAGTAGTTTTAACCTGTTGGTTTAACTTCCCAAGTGTACAGCTCTTTAATAAGAACAAGGTTTTTAATAGGCCTCGATGAGCCTTCTGTATTCATCTAAGTTATAATCTTGATGACATCTGAAAGTAGGCTAATAACCAAATTCCCTGAATACCCACAGCTATTAGTTTGTAAAATAGTGTCCCTGAGAGGTTATTCTGCTTGACCCACTTTCTAAACTGGATTCTACACCTGATGATTTGTCATGGATAAAGAAATTTGGGTATTTTCATTTGTTTGATGCTGACTGCTATGGTCTCAGGCAGCGCTGGGAAAGAAAAGTAGTATTTTGTTAGACTTGACTCCCTAGTTTGTGTCTCTGAAGTTTCTGCTGGAGGAGGAGTTTTTTTGGGATGCTTGAAGGTCATTGTTCTGGTTCTTGAATACGTGTTTGACAGGATCCTACTATTCTTGTTTCTTTCTGTTTCAAATTCAGGCTTTTGTCAAAACATTTACTGGTATTTTTCATGAGCCTTTTCCTTGCAATGTGTGTTTTGTGATTGCTGTGGTCTGCCCCACTTCAAAGTTGGTTGTTTTGCCTCTGTTAGTCTAATAGGGGAAGAAGGGCTTTTTTAAGAGGATTCAGTCCAGCTTTGTTTGCATTTAATCAACTTGAGAGTTTGAATCAGGATGGCTGGGAACATTCAGACCTGAAACCATTGCATCTAATTAAAATATTTAACTGGGACACGTCATGTGGGAGTCTGGTCCATGTCAATGGATCTCCAAAGGGGAGCCTATCACGTCTACGCTCCTTAGAGTGAGCTGGGGTAAATTCTGGCCATAACAGCTCACGAAGGGTGGTGAGCTCCACGTGGTACTGCAGTTGTGCAGAGCAGTGTCACTGCACTGTCTTCCATGAAAAAGAGCTTTCTTCATGATGTTATTCCAAGCCAAGGCAACAGGAAAAGACTGAGCATGTCCATGAGTGATGGCTGACAAGGAATGCTGTAGGCACAGTGGAATTGAAGTGGAAAACACAGCAGTGTTTGTGAGGAAATCTCTTTCTCCTTTGTCTTGTAGGGATAGCTGGATGTCTTCGTGGCTGCCACTTCACAGTAGCAGATAAACACTGTTCAGCACTGCAGTGAGCATCTCCTGCTGGGAGCTTTGGACAGCACGAGCTGTGTTTGACCTCTGTGTGCAGCTGTGGTGTCACATGGAGGATAAGGCTGAGCTTGATTTTTTTTTTTTTAAGCTTCTCAGATTTTTGTGGTTTATTTTCACAATAAAGACTTTTTAAAAAAAAAATTTTTAAAATTGCCATTGACTGAACTAATTTGAGTTGACGTAGGTGACTTAAAAGGTTATCCCAAAAACCTTTAAAGCTTTATTTCTGCATTTTCCCAGGTATCTGCTGCAGGAAAGGACAGAACAAGAAAGCACCATGTCTTCAGTCTCAGCTTATTACAATGGAAAGACTGTACTTATCACTGGAGCTACAGGTTTCATGGGCAAAGTACTGGTGGAAAAACTTCTGCGCTCCAGCCCTGAAGTGAAAGCAGTTTATATTCTTGTCAGGCCAAAGGCTGGCCAGTCAATGCAAGAGAGAGTGGCCAACATGTTGAAATGTAAGGTAAGTTCGTATGGTTTATTCTGGAATCTTATCTGAAATCCATTTAGCCGGGTGAAACAATGGGCTTCTGTTTTACTCAGTTCATCAGGAGCAAAATGCTGTGTATTTTTACTGTGTTATCAGCCAAAAGAATTGTACAGGAGCAAAGCTGTATATGTCTGATTTTGATGGGTGCCACAGCATTTTACACTGTAACCATGTCATCGTTTTACTTCCCTTTTTGCATGACCTCCACCCATGTGTATTGATCCTGTTTAGTTTGCCATCCCAGTGAAAAAATCCCTAGTGGCAAGAAGGATGTCAAAGGCCTTTGCTGTCTTTAATGTAAACATTTGTAAGGAGACACTGACTTGGGCTGAGGCTCTCAGGAGTCTCAATATCCTCTAGATCTTGAGCCAGTGGTGAGGTTGTGAACTTGCTCAGACTCCTCCAGCTATGATAAATGCCAGAGTTCAAGCTCATGCCTGATGCTAGTCTGAATTTGTACATAGCTGATGTGAGATGAGAGGAAGGGACAGATCTGGCCCTAGCAGGCAAGGAATTACTTGGAATTAACCTGAGAAATGTCAGCATATCTTTGTGGAGTATTGGTCTAGAAGTTTGGACAAGACTTAACTGGAAGAATCCTTCTCCTTCTGCAGAAGTTAGAGGTAAAATAGGTGACTTGGACACAAGTAGGTCTGGGCAGAAAACATGCTTTTTTTCCTTTTAATGTTTTGAGGCATTTAGCTAGGAAAATCTTACGTATGTCCAAGAACAGAGTTTGCTTGGTTTTGGTGTGTTTTTAACAGAGGGTAGATTGTTTTCATATTCAGGAAAATTTGTGAGTAATATAAAAGGAAACAGGCACATTAGTTGCTTTTTGCAAGTCTGTCGTAGAATGATTTAGGTTGGAAAAGACTCTGAAGGTCTTTGGGTCCAACCCTTAACCTCACACTGCCAAGTCCACCCCTAGCTTTCATCACAGTGAATAATGTGAAAAAATCCCAAATGTGGAGTGTTTTTGCCTTTTGTGTTTTAAAACACTTGAGGAAATGATAAACATAGGTATTTATCAAGACTTTTGTAAGGTCTGTTTGTATTTTATGTATAAATGCTGCTGGCTTATCTCCTCTGTTGGGCAGCACAGCTTGGAGGTAGTATTCTCTAGGTGGGGTTCCCTAGTAACTGTTTTATTGTTGCAGCTCTGTTAGATGTACCCATTTTTTTTCCCTAGCATGTGTCAGCAGTTTTGGAGTTGCCAAGAGCAAACAGGACCTGATAACCTCTCCTTGAACCTTTGGCAGCCTTCTCCAATGTGTTTCAACTGAACAAAAAGAGAAGGCAGAGATCTAAGTTAGGCTGCTGCAGCCTTGGGAAGAAAAAAAACTTTCACAAGTCATCCAGGTTCTCTCAAGGAATAAGGTGTCTTTCTGATGCTGGGCATTTTAAAATTACTCAAAAATCCTTGCCTAAGGCAGAAACCGTACTCCTCAAAGGTGTACAAATGTTGACACCCTTGGACATTTTTTTTCTAAAAATGAAACTGTTCATTCCACTAAATATTAATTAAACGACAGATGAGGAGGACAGGAAACATTATTCTTAACATTTTTGCAGATCTTTTCTAGTTGATCACAATCTAGAGACTGCCCTTCCATTTGCTGTTGTAGTTTGCATGCTCTAGTTTACGAAATCCCTGAGGTATACAACAAATAAAAATGCAGCCAAAGTTTGTTCCAAATCTTCAGACAACATTCACAGCTGAAATTTCTGATGATGATCTCTGATGAGATGTATTGGAGTGAGCACAGGAAGCTTCAGAATGAAATTCTTTCTTTTATTTATTTGTGCTATTTACATGTTCCTTTATAATTTCTAAACTCTAGTGAATAATTATTCTTTTCCCCCATAAACTATGGATTTGATGCAGAATAGTATTTGTATCTAGGTTTAGGGGAACATACTTTATTTCTTCTTTCATATCCTACCCTGTGTAATCTTCTCTAGTGACCCATGACACATTCATTTTGCAAGTAACTCCTTCCTTTGCATTTAGCTCTGACCTGGTATTGTCTTCTGGATTTTCTTGTTTGCACATCCAGAAAGGAGTATTCCAGGAACCAAAGGAACAGAGAAATACAGATTGCCAGCTTCTGAATATTCTAAGCAAAGAGATAAAATGAGTATTTGGGATGAAGCAAGATCCAAGCAAGTGAAACAGATTGGTTAAAATTAGTTGCATAATGTTTAGGTTCTTCAGGTAAGGTCCTCTGGGGACTCCTGATTTTTGGTAGTACTTAGAAATATTTTGAAAGAACTTGCCTAGAATTTTGATCCCTTTTCATTTATCTCTGTGAAATTTGTGTGGTTCTTATCATTATGTCTACAGGGGCTTAAACATTGAGGTGTTGCATTTGTGCACTGTCTTCTTCAGTGTGTAGATGTCAATCTGCTGGAAGATGACTCCTGTTAAATAGAAGGGCAGCTGTGGGTTAGAAAAGGGTGATACAGTGTGAATGGCAAAATAACTTAGTTTGTGCTTTTCAACAGTTGGTTACTTGGAGTTTTTCAACTTCTGAATCCAACATGGAAAGTAAAATACAGAAAATAGCTTGGGCATACATCAGAATTCTTTGACTGTATTCTGCATCTGAATAGGCATTGAAATTTAATATAAGGCTGCTTTCCTTAGTAAAATTAGTTTTACATGCAGGTGCATTAGTGCATTAATATTCAATGTATAATGAACAGATACTCAATTATCTCAGCATCAAATCCAAAACAAGCATGGTGACCTTGCCTATTTATGAAAGGAGATGTTCTATTTTCCAGCAGCAAGTCCCTACGGGAATCAAGCTATTACCCTGTGCTTAATGAAATGCCATGTCTGCCTTGCATAGAGCACAGCTGTTCCACAAAAAAACCCAGATTTCAGTATGGGCTGCTGCCTGGATGTGGCCAGAGATGTGGATCGTGAGGCAAAGCCTGACAGGGCTGTATAATCATTAGTTGATAGGAGATGTGTCTTTATCAGAGGCAGGGAATTGCTTCAAGGACCATTTTTTGCTGTCTGAGCCCTCTGTGCACAGAAATAGGCAGGAATGCTTGGAGGGGTTGCTTTGGATTCCCTGGAGAGCAGTTGCTGGGCTAATGCTGGGTCACTGTGGCTTTCCCCTTGTCCCTGGGAGAGCAGAACATTTTCCATGCCCTGCATGCAGGGAACCAAGGCTGCTTGCTACTGCCAGGGCTGTTCCTCAGATAGATTTGTCCTGTGTTCCTAATTAGAAAGATCAGACAAAGTGAGGAGAGGAAAAGGCTCTTATTAACGTCTCTGATAATTCAGAGAGAAAATGGGGAGGCTGTGAATGAGGCTGCTGAAAATGGGGAATTGGGTGTGACTGAAATGCTGCTGCTTTTTCCTGTCGTCCAGCCACAGTTAACCTTTCTAGTTCAAGTGGATGCTACAGACAGACCTTCTCTTCCCTGCAAAGCTTTGCCTGGAGCTGCACAGTGGGATGGGCAATACTATCAGACACTTTAATCTCTTCAGTATTTCCTCATGTAGTATGCTGTGTTTATCATTTAACATCCAGCAAGGCCCTGTCGATTTCAGCAAATCATTCCAGATTCATCTTTCTCTACCTCCTATGACTTTGCCCCTTCACTCATCACTGTAAGCAATAAAGGCTCTCCATGCCAAACCAGTGCAGTGTCACTCCATCTGGAGCAGCATCTCTGAAATCTGCTGTGGCCCCTGTAGAGGGGTTTGTACTTGGATCAGGGTTAATGAAGTTTTTAGGTTGATGGAACATGGTGGTGTTAGGTCATAGGACTTGATGATCTCAGAGATCTTGTCCAGCCTGATCCTCTGATTCTGCATGTGCCTCATCCCTTGAAGTGTTCAAGGCCAAAACTGAAATAATATTTTTTTTCTTTGAGTGTTTGAAGAACAAATGAGTTATAGAATAATAGAGTCATAGAATCAGTTATCTTGTCAAAAATCTCTTATCATCAGTCCAGCTGTTAACCCAGAATTGCCAAGTCCACCACTAAACCATGTTCTTAAGCATCACATCTTTTAAATATCTCCAGGGGTGCTGACTCAACCACACCCAGCCTGTTTCAATGCTTGAGAACCCTTTGAAAATTTTTTTCCTGATATCCAATCTAACCCTTCCCTGACACAGCTCGAGACCACTGCCTTTCCATTCTGTCACTTGTTACCTGGGAGAAGAGACTGGCCACTACTTTGTTAAAACCTCTTTTCATGTAGTAGTAGAGAGCCATGAGGTACCCCCTGAGCCTTCTTTTTTTTCTGGGCTAAACAACCCCGGCTCTCTAAGTCACTCCTCCTTAGACTTGTGCTCTAGACCCTTCCCCAAGGCATCTCTGACTGCAAGAAGCTGTGTCTCTTCTATTACTTGGCTTCTCCTGTACTCCTGCATGACTTTCTCCCTGAAACATCAGTCTCTGATCACTCAGAGATGCAGTTCTGTGGTACTGTCAGCATGGTTCATGCAGTACTGGAAGCTCTAGGTAGGATTATGACCTAATGGTGTCATACATTGTCTTTTATTAAAAAAAAAAAGTAATGCTGCTGAAACCCAGGCAAGCCTTGGGGATGCCATTTGTCTCCAGGTCACAAACTCTGCTAGATGGTACGGAATTCAAACCTCAGTTTTATTGTTGTCAAGGAGAGGTCACAGTGTAGTGCTCCATCTTTGCAAACTGTCTTCAGTCCTTCTGCTCCTGTGGGTATTCACAGTAGTAAAGTCAATTCTTTTAAAATAGACTGCAGTTTTCAGTTTCCTCCAGTTGTACAGAGGTACACAGTAAATCACAAAGAAGTTAAGAATGTTTAAATGACACAAGATTGTAAATGAAAAACAAGAGCACAGAAGGATATGAAACTGTAGAAATGAGGTGGATTATTCTGAAATTAGTAAGTCATTGAAAGCAGAGATGCTTCTCAGTTAAAGTGTGTTTGTCATTCTGTGAAGAAAAATGTTTTGGTGTCA